TATATTGACCCCAGCCTCTATATGTGTCCTATATTGACCCCAGCCTCTATATGTGTCCTATATTGACCCCAGCCTCTATATGTGTCCTATATTGACCCCAGCCTCTATATGTGTCCTATATTGACCCCAGCCTCTATATGTGTCCTATATTGACCCCAGCCTGTGTCCTCTATTGTCCCCAGCCTCTATATGTGTCCTATATTGACCCCAGCCTCTATATGTGTCCTATATTGACCCCAGCCTCTATATGTGTCCTAAATTGACCCCAGCCGCTATGTGTCCTATATTGACCCCAGCCTCTATATGTGTCCTATATTGACCCCAGCCTCTATATGTGTCCTATATTGACCCCAGCCTCTATATGTGTCCTATATTGACCCCAGCCTCTATATGTCTCACATATAGACCCCAGCCTCTATATGTGTCCTATATTGACCCCAGCCTCTATATGTGTCCTATATTGACCCCAGCCTCTATATGTGTCCTATATTGACCCCAGCCTCTATATGTGTCCTATATTGACCCCAGCCGCTATATGTGTCCTATATTGACCCCAGCCTCTATATGTGTCCTATATTGACCCCAGCCTCTATATGTGTCCTATATTGACCCCAGCCTCTATATGTGTCCTATATTGACCCCAGCCTCTATATGTGTCCTATATTGACCCCAGCCTCTATATGTGTCCTATATTGACCCCAGCCTCTATATGTCTCACATATAGACCCCAGCCTCTATATGTGTCCTATATAGACCCCAGCCTCTATATGTGTCCTATATTGACCCCAGCCTCTATATGTGTCCTATATTGACCCCAGCCGCTATATGTGTCCTATATTGACCCCAGCCTCTATATGTGTCCTATATTGACCCCAGCCTCTATATGTGTCCTATATTGACCCCAGCCTCTATATGTGTCCTATATTGACCCCAGCCTCTATATGTGTCCTATATTGACCCCAGCCTCTATATGTGTCCTATATTGACCCCAGCCTCTATATGTGTCCTATATTGACCCCAGCCTGTGTCCTCTATTTTCCCCAGCCTCTATATGTGTCCTATATTGACCCCAGCCTCTATATGTGTCCTATATTGACCCCAGCCTCTATATGTCTCACATATAGACCCCAGCCTCTATATGTGTCCTATATAGACCCCAGCCTCTATATGTGTCCTATATTGACCCCAGCCTCTATATGTGTCCTATATTGACCCCAGCCTCTATATGTGTCCTATATTGACCCCAGCCTCTATATGTGTCCTATATTGACCCCAGCCTCTATATGTGTCCTATATTGACCCCAGCCTCTATATGTGTCCTATATTGACCCCAGCCTGTGTCCTCTATTTTCCCCAGCCTCTATATGTGTCCTATATTGACCCCAGCCTCTATATGTGTCCTATATTGACCCCAGCCTCTATATGTCTCACATATAGACCCCAGCCTCTATATGTGTCCTATATTGACCCCAGCCTCTATATGTGTCCTATATTGACCCCAGCCTCTATATGTGTCCTATATTGACCCCAGCCTCTATATGTGTCCTATATTGACCCCAGCCTGTGTCCTCTATTGTCCCCAGCCTCTATATGTGTCCTCTATTGTCCCCAGCCTCTATATGTGTCCTATATTGACCCCAGCCTCTATATGTGTCCTATATTGACCCCAGCCTCTATATGTGTCCTATATTGACCCCAGCCTCTATATGTGTCCTAAATTGACCCCAGCCGCTATGTGTCCTATATTGACCCCAGCCTCTATATGTGTCCTATATTGACCCCAGCCTCTATATGTGTCCTATATTGACCCCAGCCTCTATATGTGTCCTATATTGACCCCAGAATGTGTCCTATATTGACCCCAGCCTCTATATGTGTCCTATATTGACCCCAGCCTCTATATGTGTCCTATATTGACCCCAGCCTGTGTCCTCTATTGACCCCAGCCTGTGTCCTATATTGACCCCAGCCTGTCCTATATTGACCCCAGCCTCTATATGTGTCCTATATTGACCCCAGCCTCTATATGTGTCCTATATTGACCCCAGCCTCCATATGTGTCCTATATTGACCCCAGCCTCTATATGTGTCCTATATTGACCCCAGCCTCTATATGTGTCCTATATTGACCCCAGCCTCTATATGTGTCCTATATTGACCCCAGCCAATCCCATGTGTTTACCTACCAGACAAAACTTACCACCTGTACAACTGACTTACCTGTCGCCTTATCAGTTGTATCCGGCAAATCTGCCGTTATATGACGTCATCAATCGGATTTAGCTAATCTGCCATTGTGTGACGTCACCAGCTGGCTACTCTCTACACCGATGACACCAACCCGACATAAACACTTCAACAACATCGCCCCCATAGGCGCCAAACTTTTCGACACTGGTAACCTTGACCTCCAAACCTCTGTGCTATCAATACTCCAATACTGATCTGTATCAAACTATCGATCTTCTTATCAACAGCCGGGCCTAGCTTTGATTAGAGTTTCAATTGTTGACATGATCGAACTTCAACAACACAGTTAATGTCGGGCTTCAGCTGACGTTAAATAGCTCAAGATTGTCAATGTGTTTGTGTATGTGTCTGTGTGTGTGTGTGTCTGTGTGTGTGTGTGCATATGTTTGTATGCATTTCCGTTCGTGTTTGTTTATCTGCCATTTACCATATTTGTGTCTGTCTGCCTCTCCCCCTTCCCCCTCCTCCCCCGCTACCCCAGACAAAATAGAATAAATAAATGGTTTATTTAAATTATATCTACTTTAACCTGAGCCTGCCGGCGCCTAGCTTCAAATACCACCCCTCTCTCCGGAAAGTCTGAACGACGCCCACATGTAGACCTATAAGTTTTAAAATCTGATCTGTATGTTGCTAACTCTCAGCGCAAATAATCTGCCCCGTACTGCTCACCCCAGTCAAGTGACTGATGTACAACAGCACAACTCAGTCAAGTGACTGATGAACAACAGCTCACCCCAGTCAAGTGACTGATGAACAACAGCACAACTCAGTCAAGTGACTGATGAACAACAGCACAACTCAGTCAAGTGACTGATGAACAACAGCTCACCCCAGTCAAGTGACTGATGAACAACAGCACAACTCAGTCAAGTGACTGATGAACAACAGCACAACTCAGTCAAGTGACTGATGAACAACAGCTCACCCCAGTCAAGTGACTGATGAACAACAGCTCACCTCAGTCAGCTGACTGATGAACAACAGCTCACCTCAGTCAGCTGACTGATCCAGCGAGCTCTAATACCTGGTCTTCTTATCTCTCTTTTTAATGATGAATAGAGTCAAGTTTAAATTAATTTTAAATAATTAATTTAAAATCTGAAAAAAATATATTTTTGCGTCGTCATCTTAAATGAATTATCTTGAAAATTTGAACGAAATCGGTGCATTAGAAGTGGGTTACAAAATTTGACCACAAACACACAGACAGACATTTCAACCTAACTAAGAGCTGGTGACAATGTTTCTAATTTCCAGGTGCCAATCCAACTTTCTAAAGGTTTCTGCTAATTCGCCATAACATTGTGATGACATGTACATTGACTTTGTGATGACATTTGACATTCTGATGACATGTACATTGACATTGTGTTGACATGTACATTGACATTGTGATGACATGTACATTGACATTGTGATGACATGTACATTGACATTGTGATGACATGTACATTAAGTGACCTAGACCTTGCCTCGTATGAAAACCAAAACTTCTGCAACAGCGCATTAAACTACAAACCACCTGCACCCCCTCCTCTCCACCACCACACCACAAATAACATCCACCGAACAATGCCCTATGCACTTTATTTGTTATTGTAAATTCTCTTTGTCAAATCATCGATTCCTCCCCTTAAATGAAGCAAGAGTTGCTGTCCGTGTACTCCCATGAGTTTTGTAGAAAGTTCTCGAAGAACCTAAAATAGAACTATGAGTACATTGACACGCGTTTAATCTTGTCTTGTCATTTAGGCTTAATTAGTGCGTAGTGGTGGGCAGACAAGGGACTGGTACTTATGGGAGCCGGTGTTGTGTTAGCTTGGTGGCAGGGTTCAAGGGGGAAAGTCACAGGTGAAAAAAAAAAACAGATTTTGCTAGAAAAAAGTCACAGAGAAAAGTCACAAAGGAAAAATGTTGTAGTAAAAAACTGTCACAGAAATAATGCCAGAAAAACTCACCAATGCAAATAAGAAATATTTTGAATTATTTGTTGAAAATAGTAAAATTGTGGGTAATTATAAATGTAGGTGTTTTTATAATGTGACTTAATTCGAATTTTTTTTAAAGTAGTAATTTTTCGCGATATTATTCACATGTTGTGGATTGTTCATTTGGTGCACATTTGTTTTTGAAGTATTAAAAAATCATTTCTATATCCCGATTGCACAGTAAGTGTCATCTCCCTCAATAATATATCAGAACATACGAGAAAGTTTAGGGGAGATCACTCCCGCTTTATTTTCATAGCAAAAACTGCGACTTTTTTTCTGCGACTTTTTTCCTGTGACTTTTTCTGCTCAACGGTGACAGGGTAGCCTAGAAGTTAATGGGTTGTGGTGGCAGGGTTGGTGACGGGTTGCTGAGAGTAGGTGGTTGTTGACGTCAGGTGCCACACGAGTAAGTCACGTGATTATGATAGAAGCGACAAGTTTGAAAGCCAGTATTTCATTAAAACAAATAATTCCAATATTCAAACCGAACCCCCCCCTTCCAATATTCAAACCGACCCCCCTCCCCACCATGATCAACTTGACCCCCCCTCCATGTAATGTCATCTCGTGAAGATGACATCTTATGAAGATGTCATCTAGTGAAGATGACATCCCGTCTCTTTATCTGACGCCACATTTATCTGGCCACATATAGCCAGCTATTTTTAAATAATTGACATTGAACATAATTTTTAAAAATTGACAGTTAACACAATTTTAGAAAAAAATTTTCTTTAATGTTATATAAGTTATGACAATTGAATACATGAGCCAGGAATATGATGACGGCTAAAAATAGCACAGATGACGCACTGACGCGAGTCGCTGATGCGAGTCACTGATGCAGTTCGCAGGCACTGGTAACAATTACATCTAAAAATAGATTTTAATAAGTATATCCGTACGCTGGTTAGGTTGTATTGCCGGGGGCTGAACAGGGGTGTAATCAGGCATGAAGGAACCCACGTGGGGGGTGGGGGGGGGGGGGCAAATTATAAATGTCGTCACTCGAGACGTCGATGATATTTTATAATTAATGATTGAGCTATTTTTAGCTTGAAATCAATACAACTTGTGACTAGCGTGAGGCTTTGTCTTAATCTGCCGGGTAGAACATGACGCTCTGGCGGTTTTAATACAACAGCATCAGGGTTGGTAAACATCAACTTGGTAAACATCAACTTGGTAAACATCAACTTGGTAAACATCATCAACTTCATCACTGATAAACATCATCATTTTTACTACATCATTATCATTGGTAAACATCAACATTTTACTACATCATTATCATTGGTAAACATCAACTTGGTCAAAATCAACTTCATCACGTGATAAACATCAACATTTTTACTATATCATTATCATTGGTACGTATTCATAAAGCCCCTAGCCAATCAAAAGTGACAAACCCTGTCAATTAGTTTTAAAGTTTTCTTTATGAACATTTCAAGTGGTTCCAAAAACAAACGGTGTGTTTAAAATTGCATGACAATATGAACATGCTTGGAGGAATTCTGTATGAAATTAGAACTTAACTTTGAATGTTAACATAATTTAGCATTCATTTTAAGTGCTTTTGAAATGCTTTCAACGTTCGTTTAAAATAGTTGGTACTTATTGTTTGCTGTCGTTTCACCGGGACTATCCAAACCTCGCAAGGTATTGTGGGTACCAATGTCAGGGGCACGTGAGCCCAGAGAACAGCAGGAACGGCTCAACTCTGGCAGTCGATGGTCTGTTGTCAGCCCTTGGCACAGTTTGAGCAGACAGCTCTCTAGGTGGAGTCGGCCATTTTGTGGTCGGTCATTTTAGTGGTCGGCCATTTTGCGGTCGGCCATTTTGTGGTCGGCTGTTATTGGACTAGGCATACGACGGCTATGACGTGCCGGCATTACGTAAGATGGACTGTCCGGGTGTGCCGCTGAGCCGCGTGTCGGTGTCCACAGAGAGCCGGGGCCTGATGAGCCGCACGGAGAAGAGCTGGTGCGGCCCCTTCTCGTCGGCCCAGGTGACCCGCTTGTCGCAGTGGCTGGCCCTGCGGCCCTGCCGGGGCTTGACCAGGTCGGCGCCGCCAAACGATGCTGGTCGTCTGCTCTTAGCCTTGACCCCCTCGCTCTCCGGCGGGGTCAGGTAGGTGGCGCCCCCTGGTGTCGTCTGCCTGGTCTTGTCTGGGACAGGAAGCTGTTGTCTGACCTTGGCGCGGTCAGCTGGTGTCTGTGTGACCTTGACCTGGTCAGCAGGTTGTTGACCCGTCACGGTTGAGCTGCCAGACTCACGTCTCATGTTACCCATCACCTCCTGTGGGAGGGATACAAAACATTTTTATTGGGCCACGAATTGAAAGTAAACAGTCCACGTTTTTATGGCATTTTTTATAGCAAATGCTAAAATAAACGATCACAATACCAAACTTAAGACTTTAGACAGAGTGAAACTTTTAATTAAGTGAACACAATGTGTGTACTTTCGAGTGGACGTTTGCCCGACAGCCGATAGCAGGGATGGACGTTTCCCAAAAGCCTGACTGTACAATCTATTTATCATGTTTTTAATACTAATTTAAAAGGGGAAATTTTTTTAATTTGAATTTTTACCGGTAAGTTAATACTTTTCCAGATACATTCATCTCCGATGTCAATGCAAGAGTATCAACTTTAAATCTAATCAGTAATTAGACTAGTCATTAAACAATTATTATATTCAATAATAAAAGAGGAGATAACAAGATTAAATACTAGCAATCGCATAATCAGCTAACCATCGACGGTGAACTATTTGTCGGGTTTTAAAGCAAATATTTTAGTCGTAGCATATGTGGTGACATCCTCAATCAGAGCGAAAGATTAAAACGTGGAAAATAAAACAAATAATAAAAACTTTATGACAACGAGCTTTGAAAAAAAGAGACAATAAACCAAAATTGCTTACTTTAATGAAACTTTGGTCGTAAAAAAATTTGTTAGAGAAGTCGTGAGCGACCACTTTCTTTTAAGAAAGCAAATTCGTTTTTATTTATTGCAGTGTGTTTGAAAGTTTGTTATTGTAAAGTTTGTATATTTTTTTAAAATTTCCAGTGTTCGAAAGTTTTTTATTGTAAAGTTTTTATATTTATTTTATTTTCAGTGTGTTTGAAAGTTTGTTATTGTAAAGTTTTTGTATTTATTTTATTTATTTTCAGTGTGTTTGAAAGTTTGTTCTTGTAAAGATTTTATATTTATTTTATTTACAGTGTGTTTGAAAGTTTGTTCTTGTAAAGTTTTTATATTTATTTTATTTACAGTGTGTTTGAAAGTTTGTTCTTGTAAAGTTTTTATATTTATTTTATTTTCACTTTTCTCTCTGCGACTGTTTACTTTCTCGTCTATTGAGACCAGCAGAAGTTTTATAAGCGTACATAAATCGACGTCGTACATAGACGTACAGACAGATTAAATTACAAAACAGGTTTTTTAGACTCGGGTAGGTGTTAAATGCCTAGACGTGTTCTCAGTCGTGTCTACTTAAAGTGGTGTCACGACTCAACGGTGTTCAAATATATGTTGTAAACACATGCAGGCTACTACTTACGTCTGACGTAGGGGGGGGGGGGGGGGGGCTGTAAACACATACACTACTCACCATAAAGGCGTCTGACGGCTCTGGGATGACGCTCCTTACGCTGGGCGTGCTGTCGCGACAGCTGAAATACGTCTCGCAGCTGTTGTCGGCGTCACACAACGACACGAAGACGTTAAAGGAGTCAGACAGCAGGTCGGCGCTGTGAGAACCGTTGATCCTGTCGGCTGATCTAGCGTCTACAGACACGGTGGGTGCCATGGCGGAACTGGTGACTGTTTGCTGGGAGACTGGGCTACAAGAGTTCTGCTAGAAGCTGTTGAAGCCCTGATCAATGTGTTCACAACTGAGTTTAGAGCAGGCCAAGTCTTGAGATAGACGCAAATGTTTTCAGTCGCCACTGAGTGCTGTTTGCTGTCAGAAGGTCGTGTTATGTTCTAGAAATCAATGCTACCCACTTATTTATAGACACCTCGTGACGTAGACAGCAGGCTTTGGTGACGTAGAAGACATGTTAGTGTCTCAGATAGCGCGAGCCCACTAGGTCTGGCATTAATCGATATTCGAGGCTAAAAATACGCTAGAGAGTATCAATACAGGTGGGTTGATCAACAAGGATTGGCCGATATCTGACAACCTAGCCTGCATTGTCGATCGACGTTTTCATCAACAACATCACCGGTGTTAATTTAGTTATATTGTATCATCTCTGGTATCACGGATAAGTCAACAATTATTTGCAACAATTGTTTACAAAAAAATATTATAACATGTTTACAACTTGAGTCCAGTGTTGTTTACAACTCTGTAAAAACAGGACAGTTAGTTGTTATCAAACTTCCATTACAACTCTGTAAAAACAGGACAGTTAGTTGTTATCAAACTTCCATTACAACTCTGTAAAAACGGGACAGTTAGTTTTTATCAAACTTCCATTACAACTCTGTAAAAACAGGACAGTTAGTTGTTATCAAACTTCCATTACAACTCTGTAAAAACAGTACAGTTAGTTGTTATCAAACTTCCATTACAACTCTGTAAAAACAGGACAGTTAGTTGTTATCAAACTTCCATTACAACTCTGTAAAAACAGGACAGTTAGTTGTTATCAAACTTCCATTACAACTCTGTAAAAACGGGACAGTTAGTTTTTATCAAACTTCCATTACAACTCTGTAAAAACAGGACAGTTAGTTGTTATCAAACTTCCATTACAACTCTGTAAAAACAGTACAGTTAGTTGTTATCAAACTTCCATTACAACTCTGTAAAAACAGGACAGTTAGTTGTTATCAAACTTCCATTACAACTCTGTAAAAACAGGACAGTTAGTTGTTATCAAACTTCCATTACAACTCTGTAAAAACAGGACAGTTAGTTGTTATCAAACTTCCATTACAACTCTGTAAAAACAGGACAGTTAGTTGTTATCAAACTTCCATTACAACTCTGTAAAAACAGGACAGTTAGTTGTTATCAAACTTCCATTACAACTCTGTAAAAACAGGACAGTTAGTTGTTATCAAACTTCCATTACAACTCTGTAAAAACAGGACAGTTAGTTGTTATCAAACTTCCATTACAACTCTGTAAAAACAGGACAGTTAGTTGTTATCAAACTTCCATTACAACTCTGTAAAAACAGGACAGTTAGTTGTTATCAAACTTCCATTACAACTCTGTAAAAACAGGACAGTTAGTTGTTATCAAACTTCCATTACAACTCTGTAAAAACAGGACAGTTAGTTGTTATCAAACTTCCATTACAACTCTGTAAAAACGGGACAGTTAGTTTTTATCAAACTTCCATTACAACTCTGTAAAAACGGGACAGTTAGTTGTTATCAAACTTCCATTACAACTCTGTAAAAACGGGACAGTTAGTTTTTATCAAACTTCCATTACAACTCTGTAAAAACAGGACAGTTAGTTGTTATCAAACTTCCATTACAACTCTGTAAAAACAGGACAGTTAGTTGTTATCAAACTTCCATTACAACTCTGTAAAAACAGGACAGTTAGTTGTTATCAAACTTCCATTACAACTCTGTAAAAACAGGACAGTTAGTTGTTATCAAACTTCCATTACAAATCTGTAAAAACGGGACAGTTAGTTGTTATCAAACTTCCATTACAACTCTGTAAAAACAGGACAGTTAGTTGTTATCAAACTTCCATTACAACTCTGTAAAAACAGGACAGTTAGTTGTTATCAAACTTCCATTACAACTCTGTAAAAACGGGACAGTTAGTTGTTATCAAACTTCCATTACAACTCTGTAAAAACAGTACAGTTAGTTGTTATCAAACTTCCATTACAACTCTGTAAAAACAGTACAGTTAGTTGTTATCAAACTTCCATTACAACTCTGTAAAAACAGTACAGTTAGTTGTTATCAAACTTCCATTACAACTCTGTAAAAACAGTACAGTTAGTTGTTATCAAACTTCCATTACAACTCTGTAAAAACAGGACAGTTAGTTGTTATCAAACTTCCATTACAACTCTGTAAAAACAGGACAGTTAGTTGTTATCAAACTTCCATTACAACTCTGTAAAAACAGGACAGTTAGTTGTTATCAAACTTCCATTACAACTCTGTAAAAACGGGACAGTTAGTTGTTATCAAACTTCCATTACAACTCTGTAAAAACAGGACAGTTAGTTGTTATCAAACTTCCATTACAACTCTGTAAAAACAGGACAGTTAGTTGTTATCAAACTTCCATTACAACTCTGTAAAAACAGGACAGTTAGTTGTTATCAAACTTCCATTACAAATCTGTAAAAACGGGACAGTTAGTTGTTATCAAACTTCATTTGCTAGTTTTCACAACCTTTTTTTTTCTGTACGCACATTTCAACAAACTTTCAGTGGAGTAGTCTGTATAGGCGAGTGTGGGGCAGGGGTGGAGCTACCATGCAGTGGCGTAGCGAGGTCGGGTGTCACCCGGTGCGGCACTTAATGGTGTCACCCCCCAGAGGCGTAGCGACCCTTTCGATTTGCACCCCCCCCCCCCCTCAAACTTTCGATTTGCATCACTTAAAAGACTATTTAACACTCGAATTAATCTGGAATTATCATTTTTCCCTATATATTTTGCAATTTTTATGCCTTGGTGTCACCCCTTAAATGGTGTCACCCCCGCCCCCCCCCCTTCGCTACGCCACTGCTCCATATATATATATATATATATATATATATATATATATATATATATATATATATATATATATATATATATTATGTTGTGAGGATTTTGTATAAATAAAAGATGGTGGCTGTGTGACGTGGTACGCAAGAATGTGACGTTTCAGTGTAGGTTCGTTGTTGCCGGGGAAGAAGGTTATGTAGTCTTGTAGTGTTAGCGTGAGGTTGTGTATGCAGTCAAATCCAAGTGTAGGTTGTAAAAGTCGTCGTTCGTATCTAGATAGTGCAATAAACAATGTAATGATCCAATGTGATACTGGCAAGTCATCTGTCTGCGTTGATGTCGTTGAAACATAGACGAGAACTCTGTGTTTAACTCAGAAATGGTTTGAGTAAAACATGGTAGTGTAAACCCCCTCACTTCGGCATACATTGTCCCCAGTTATAACATCCACCCCATTGTTTTCAAATATAACAAAACATGGCTTCTTCTGTATGTAAATAGACCACACCCCTTTCCCGAAAGATGACGAGGTAAGACAATCATCAAATAACACAATCTGTTTACGTTTTTTTTATTACTAATTAAAATATGCAGGTGTTATTGATTGTTTTGATGTTACTAATGTCTTAGTTAAAGTTACATTTGTATATTATTCCCATGTTGTTTAATTAATTGGTGTATCATTTTAATATTTACCTTAAAAAACTCAATTAATTTAAATAAAACAAAGTTAAAAGTTTTGTGAGTTCTTAAGTCAATAATTTAAATTACATTTTACGATACAAGCGTAAGAACCTACACTCTCATAGACGGTGGCCGGAAAGAACCGCAACGGAAAAAAGCGCAACGGAAAAAAGCGCAAAACAAAAAGCGCAACGGAAAAAAACGCACACGGAAAAAAGCGCAAAGAGAAAAAAGCGCACACAGAAAAAAGCGCAAAGAGAAAAAAGCGCAAACGGAAAAAAGCGCAAAGAGAAAAAAGCGCACACAGAAAAAAGCGCAAACAGAAAAAAGCGCAAACGGAAAAAAGCGCAAAGAGAAAAAAGCGCACACGGAAAAAAGCGCAAAGAGAAAAAAGCGCAAACAGAAAAAAGCGCAAAGAGAAAAAAGCGCAAACAGAAAAAAGCGCAAACAGAAAAAAGCGCACACGGAAAAAAGCGCAAACGGAAAAAAGCGCAAACGGAAAAAAGCGCAAACAGAAAAAAGCGCAAACGGAAAAAAGCGCAAACAGAAAAAAGCGCACACAGAAAAAAGCGCAAACAGAAAAAAGCGCAAACGGAAAAAAGCGCAAACAGAAAAAAGCGCACACAGAAAAAAGCGCAAACGGAAAAAAGCGCAAACAGAAACAGAAAAATGCGCAACCAGAAAAAACACAACGAAAAATGTGCAAAAAGGAAATTTAGCGCAAAGACCATATGGACTAGATGACACATTTATACATGACTGTTAGGGCTGCTGTGAGAGTGTCGTGTTTGATCACGTGATCTACTACCATTTAAAGCGTACCACTACCATCTGCATTCCCATCACCACGATACAGGCGATAATCACTTTACACAATGCCTATTATTTTCTTGGTCAATAATTATTCAACTACTATTCTCGTATAAACATAAAACTATCGACATTACACGAAGTATCTTTCACATTCTCCCTAGTCCGAACTACCTCGCTTGCATACTATAACAACCCGTTCTTATGGCAAAACTTCACTCTCTTTCATCCGCGTCATCAAACATACATTCGTCATATCTCTCGTAACAACATTCATTCGCACCAAATTAACAATTTTGTATTTAATATTTTTTCACATCATGACGCACCTACCTACCTACCTACTACCCACCTACCTACCTAACTACCTAACTACCCACTTACCCACCTACCCACCTACCCGCCTACATACTTACCAAACTACCCACCAAAAAAGTATCGGCGAAGTTCGTAAGTTTCGTAAACTGTACTAGACATCATTTTTTTAATGAAAATTCATTGACATCATTGACATATGTTACATATATGTTACATTTTGCGACAACCTTAATTAGTGCGTTGGGCTTGTATGAAAACTCACTTCGAACTAACTCAATTACATGCTATTTATTTTAACATTACACGGTAAGCGTCACCCAACTGTTGTGATGTGAGGTGAGGACAGGTTCGATAATAAACCAACACGAAAGTACGAAAGAGACATAGATTGCCTATTAGAGAATGGACCCCTTAACTTTCCTAACCCCACCATTTATTATACCCTACCTAACCTCTAAATTTACTGCGCTAAAT